TGCAGGGAGGCAGCTGTAATCGACCTTGTGAAAGATAGTCTTGTGGATGACCAATTGGTACTCTTTTCCAATACTGTACGTCCACATCAAAGCAGCATGTTCCAACACAGTTGGGACTGTCGGAGTGCGTCACAAGAACGAGCCAAAAGAGTTGAAGTTGAAGTTTCAGAAAGGTGAGTGTTGCAGTCTCTTTTCACACAGAGTGATGGCCCTAACATGGCAGGACAAGAAGCCCGCGAGCATGTTGTCGACCTCCCATGATGCTATCAACCTGACAGACACGGGAAAAAAAAGGAAAAGACAAGAAGCCAGTGCTCATACCCCAGGTAGTACTTGAATACAATAGAGGTATGGAGGGCGTAACATGAAGACCAGCAGCTGGCTTCCTTCCCAGAAGACGTTCTACAAGAAAACCTTCTTTTACATCATGGATTTGACTGTTTACAACAGCTTTATACTCTGTGAAAAGGCAACCGGCAAGAAAGTCAGTTACACAAAATGGAAAGTCGACCATGCCGAGCAGATCGTAAAAGAGACGGTGTTGCCTGGATACCGACAACGTGGAAAGCCAACTCTGGGTGCCTCGCCAATGCACCTAGAGGGTTGAAAATGGGCGCATTTTCCTCGTCAGATTCCAGCGAACACTGTAAAACTAAGCCCGTCAAGGCGGTGCCACGTCTGCAAAGGCAAAAAGAGTGGGAGCCTTTAGGACTGTGAGAAATGTGGTGTCGCCTTTTACATGCCTCTGTACATTAAGTTGTTTCGTAGACCCTCAAACCACTTTGCATCCGCCTATTATCCAAGATTCAAATGTAACCACAGCTATGCTGGTGTGATTTCTCTTATGAGAGTGTTAAGCTTAATCTTGGGTTTTACGGACGACATCAGCCGGACAAAAACGGATTGCGGAATACTGGGTGGGGGAGGGCCATGAAGCGAATAGATGAACATTATAAAGTTCATATATATTTTTTTATACACTGGATGAGTGCATGTGCACCTTCCACACTGAACAAGTGCTTTTTCTCCAAGTCTGTGGCTGTGCTGCGGTGCAGCAGGATACTCAAAAATCACAATGTTCACCAATCCGCAAAAGCAACTTCTCCACAGTACACCAGTATGGTGTAGGAAGCACACTCAACAAAGCTAACTGACCTTAATATGCCACAAATTACAAGGATTGTGGAACTTAAGATTGTCAGTTCAATCTGAAGGTGGAAACAAATAGTATTTTATTAAAAGCAATAACTGGAAATTTTGAAAATCCTCTCAACCCTACTGCAGTGATCTGGCAGTGTAGCGGGGCCTCCGCTCTCAGTTTTGATACAGAGATGGAGGAATTAACTTTTGATGGAATGATAGCGCAAATTCCTCACATTTTGGTTGAACATAGCAGGATGGAAACGACATCACTACGCAAGTTCACAGAAACATTTTCCAATGCATCTGACCAATTTATAACGCATAGATGTGTCAAGCATCAAGAACTGTGAGACGTCGTCTTGCCTTTCATGAGCCAGAAGAACAATACTTGCCAATGAAAGAGAAAAAAAATCCTTCAGAAGGGATAATGATATTTCTGAATATATGAAAACCAATTCAATACAGGTAGAAATTGAGGGAGAGGAGATGACAGTGTGCGGGCCGTTGGAATACACAGCTCTGGTTGGAATGATTAGTGGGTGGATGCAAAGCTAGCTAGCTGCCTTTGTCTTTGCTCACCGTATGAACGGATTTGAAGATTGAGCAGAGACAGAGGCTTTGCGCAGCGCTCGCATGGCCTTCGCAGTAGGATCCGCTGCGGCCAGAGTGTACCATGAAAAATTATGTTAGCGTTTCGTGAGATAAAGTCAGGCTGGCGCCCCCATGGGTTTCCGGTCCTGAGAAAAGTTGCAAAAAGAAAGCAAAATAGTACTCCGTCGAAGCTATGAGTAACACCACCTCTGGATCAGGCACATAGCCGGGGGGGGGGGCATGGGGCCCGGGCCCCCCCAGGAAATCTTCCATTCCGCTGGGGCCTCCTCTCCCCCTTCCCCTCTCATACAGCATTTTGTCATAGGCGGGCCCCCTCCACATCAAAATCGTGGCTACGTGACCGCCCTGGATATATTGGTATATTACTATCTCCGTGCGTTTCCATTTAGATAAACATTGTCAATATCGGCTCCTTCGAGTGTTTTAAGTGCAAATTTGTCGGACATGGAATATTTTGTGTAAGCCTACATACTTTTTTTTCCTTATCTGGCAGTTCCTTAAAGAAAAAAAAAATTAGCATATTGAAGTTTTTACACTTCTCATATCTAATTTATTTTAGCACTTTAAGAACATTTCTCGATGAATTTAGTAGGACACTAACGTTTAGAACTACTGCTAGAGATAATGACGTTATGCAGGGCCCCGAATCATACTTGTTTGCGAACTAGAAGAAATTTGGATTCCAACCAACACATTTTTCACACAAGCATGCTTGGCACGCAACAGGTATAGGAGCAGGTCATGTCCAGAAATCACCTTCATTAGAGGTGAAGCACCCGCACGTGCCATACACAGCATCACCGCAGCAGTGCAACATCAGAGGCATCTGTTGGCCTACATCAACAAATGTAGGATTCTCAGAAAGTACTCAGATCTTTGGAAATGATGGAAATGAACCCGGTACACTGAAAATTTTTTATGCAAGTTTCTCGCGTGTTTGTGTGAAAAGAAGCATGCCGTTACAGAAACTCATCTTCAGAAACTTCACAGACTTCCACTGTTCATGACCGGATCCCCCAACCTTTTTTTTCTTTTTTCCTGGCATGCCTCACACAAAACATTCCCTACGACCACAGACGCCACCTTCGTTCATTCCGACCCAACACCAGTGCTTGCCCTCCGCGCAACAGTGCATTGACGACGGCACGGAACTCACCCAATCTGAGCAGTCGGAAATGGATGGCACGAGATAACCTACTGTCCCCTGCGGGTGGGAAATAATGCACACCTCAACTTATGGCCCTCCCACTATACCAGGCTACTGCCAAAAAGGTAAAGGGACAGGAAGCATCCAAGAGCCACGAGCCACTAGTTAAAAAGTTAAGTTCCTTTCAGAACACATGTGCTCTCAAGAGGACATGAGACCTGAACGGGTCTTGGCCACCTCTTTTCCTTTGCCACTTGCCAGTACAGGAAACCAACACAAGCTTCCTGCACAAGATGGACTATGCCCCTACTATTAACTGAGGCAATACCAGGAGTAATAACCAAAGTTTCTCCACAGCGTGCATCCACACACTGCAGTTCAGCTGCGTGTGACCTAAAGGTGCTGTCACTACCGAGAAAACAGTTGCACAACTCTGCCATCAACACTAGAGAAACATGTCTTCGGCGACCTGGTCACATTGAGGTAACGGCAAGTGTCAGGAAACAGGTTTTTGTCACCCAGCAACCGTGTTCGCCGATTTGTTGTCCGACAACCAGAGAACACCCTGTCACACAGTGTTGACAGCAGAGTCAACACGGGGAACACTCCGCCATCTTGATTGTTCACCTTTGTCTGTGTGCGTGGCGTCGTCGCTGGAAATGTGATTCTACAAAGTGCTAATGGGTTCGAAGGGCCGGAAATTACCACGGGACGACAGCAACCAGTGACTTTGATTAGAAAACTCGACATGGGAAGTATTTTTCGCTCTTTATTTTATCACATTGTTCCTTTGCTGACGAAGCAACTAGCCCTAAACAAGGAAGATGAGATTGCTGATATATTCGTGATTTACACCACCGTATGAAGCGTTTCCGTCCGATTCTATCTTGCATGCAATTTTTATTTCTAGCATACAATTGAGTTAGTACTATGCTTAAAAACTATGACACCGATACGATCATCATTCATAACAATTGGTGGAATAAGCATTTTTTAATGCCGTCTATTTGCCTTTACCATGCTATGTGCTCGCTTGATTCCCCAAGACGTCGGGGGATTTTCGAAACAATTCAGGTGTCTGGCAGTGGCTGTTTTCAAGTACCAAGCATGAACAATCATGATGAGAGCGGTCATTTGCATGCTTTCATTTTTTAATCCCTTGCTTTCGTGGATAATGTTTACTAAATTTTATTAACGGGCGAGTAGGCATACCATTTTCACTAGCAGTAATGTGAGCTGGTCTCTTCACTTGCTGCAATTACGCTTGCCGTAATTATACAGAAAAACATTAATCAAATTATTTTAGCTGCACTCCAGCCTTAATTATTGTTGAATAACATTTTTAAGGCCTTTATTCAAGTAAGCTCTGAAAAATACACGTTATTGATAACAAACTTCACCATCAAAGCTATCTGTGTTGTTGTATTGACAGCACGAAATTTGCTCATCCACTGATCTGGGCAACACACGTCGTGCAACGCAAGTTGCTGCCATTTTCGTTGCCAAAAGCTGACACATTGAGGCAACATTGTTGCTGTCGCCTGTGTTATGCTGATGTTCCCGAAATGTGACAGGTTTGTCAGGCAACAGGGCAACCAAGAACTAAGTTAACTAACTGCTGACGAACATTTTGCGTTGCTGTCGCCACCGTGTTTCTCAATGTGACAGTCTTAAAGCTTGCAATACAGATTCAGACATCACGAGTTAATTCCCACCCTGGCTGGTTTCGATGGGGATACACATTGCAGCCCCTGGCCAAAATACGAAAGGGAAAGTGTCTCAGTGGCATCATATTGATGGTGCCCATTAGTATGTTCTTCTACGCTCTTTCTGCACGAACACAGTTTAACAAGTACAAATCCGAATTCTCTTTTGGATTTTGGGTCATGGCGTACCACGACCGCACAATATGCACACGTTAAAACCCTCGATAAGAGGCCATGTAGCACAGGTCAAACTGCCCTGGTATAGCAGAGACATAAGCCCCGTATAAAATCCCCCCCACTGTTGACCTTCGGTGCAACAAAGAGCCACATAATTAATTTTTCTACTTAGGCAAGTGTGCCTCTGCCATATGATAGTCAGGAATGTGGCTTACCTCACTGTGTGCATCCGAGAAGACGAGCGCTTGCGTGAGCACCCCTGACTTGTCGTCGGGGCTTGCCTCATCTGCCGGAGGAACCGCCACGGTAGCCCCCTTCGCACCTCCCTCGCCCCGCGAGGCTCCTGAGTCACTGCACTTGCTCCCCGACGTCACGTCCCTCTGGGAGGGGTCACCGGCGACTGCACCCACTTCGGAGGCCGCCCGGGCAACGACCACCTCTTCCACCGCCAGCGATAGCGATGCCACATGGTCTTGCACCTCTTTGACCGCGCTTTCGCTTTTTCTCGCCTGTGGCGACGCCGTGGAGGAGCTCGATGGCGACGACAGGCAGAGCAGCGAGTCCACCGACCCGTTGGGGCTGTTCGGGCTGGCCGCCGGCACGCAATCGGTGCCCCCACTCGACTCCTCGCCGAGCACCCGCGCCGCAGCGCCGTCTCCGCCCGAGACATCCACAGTCAGCACCACACAGGGGGACTTCATACAGGAAGTCACCACATTCTCCTCTGCGGGACACGAACTCCCGAGGCCGCACGCAACGGGCGACGCACCGCCTTCGCATTTTGTGGGTGGTTCCAACCGTGGCACTTCGCTGTCCTCGGTGAGATCTGCAACGGGCTTGGGCGACCCTTCTCTGCGATTCTCACCAGCTTCCCCGGAGGACGCCGCCGCCTTGGGGCCATGCTGCGTTGCGACGGCAGGCGGGGACCTCTCCTTGGCCCGGCCTCTGAGCTGCACCTCCACCACGTTGGGCTTTTCGTCCTTGAGTCTCATCGTGGCCGAAGATGATTCCGAGGCTTCGACCTTTTCTGCTTCGGAAGGCTCTCCTGCGGGTCTGGAATCGCCGGGGCTTTCCTGCTTGGTCGTGACACTGGGTGCTACGGGTTCACGCTCAGAGTTTTGTCTGGAGCGGCGCCTCTTGAGCAGGAAGAAGGACAGGAGGAGGACGAGGGCTGCGGCTGCCGGGAGAGTGACGGCCGCCCTCGGCCCCAGACCGGCCATGGACTGGCCTCGCGGGGCCGCTCCAGGGACTCGCTACTGGCCGCTGGCCCCTGCATTTGAAGGGTACGGGGAGCGGTTGCCTACCGTGCTACCAACACTGGTCAAACTGAACACATCTCTCCCACGGGACTAGAGCCGACTTGTCTGAACAGCCTCTTGGTTTAGACGGCCTCAAAGAAAGCATTGCCAAGACCAAGGCATGCAAGCACACGAGATGCAATCTTCCCATTCCACTCGGCTCAACCTCCAGCTTTGACAGTGCTGTCTTTCAGGTTGTTTTAATTATAATGCTGCTTCGAACAAGCAGGCTCCGAGTTAAAGTAGTGCCACTCAATTTTACCTACTGCACTGTATGGCTTCTGCTACAACACGAAGTGCAGTTTGAGAGTTGGCAACTTGCAGCCAGCTTGACGCCAGTGCGGTTAGCCACACAAAAGATCAAACTGTCCGCAAGTCATTATTCAATTCTGCGTTCTATTTTCGTTTACACCACTCAGAAGCGTAATGTCCTGTCAACATCAAATAGTTGGCACTCACCGCTCAATTTTCTCTCTATATTAGCAACTTTCTAGCACTGAGAAGGGATGCATGTCAGGACGCTCATATGTGTTGAACAACCTTCTGCCAAAAGTTAAATGTTATGGCTGACTTCGGATGGCACTTCAATCCTTGTGCCATCAAGAAAGAATGAGTGGAAACTTGGAAGAATAAGCACTCTCGGACTAGTACCTCATCTTCAAGCCAGAAAGAGACCATGACTCGAGAGTTCTATTACTCAAACTTGCCACATGCATTTTGCACATTGGTTATTAGAACCATCAAATTTTAGGACAGCACATGCTCTGCATTATATGGCAAGTTACAAGTGAAATTCTGCAGCTGTTTGGAGGAAGGGGAAAAGACCCCACAAGATCCGAAGGGCACTCTCAAACCCAGCGCAAAACCTCGACAATCTCCTTATGAAAGCTTGTCAGTGTCACTACTTATTTAATCTTCCTAGTTTCCTGACAAGACACCACAGTGCAGGTTTTGCTACAAGCCAAATAAATTTGTTTCAGAAAGGCATGATCTGAATGTAAAGGGGCACTAAAGTGGCTTTTGAATCTGTCGTTTTAAGAGGATATTTTAATCTAAGAACTCCAACCATCCCAATATACCCAATCCCAAACCCAGGCACGTATCCAGGATGGGGGGGGAGGGGCCCCCCCCCCCCCCCCCCCCCCCCCCCAAATTTTCCATTTTGCTGGGGCCTCCTCTCCCCCCTCCCCATCATACAGCGCTTTGTCATGGGCGGGCCCTCCCCCGAATCAAAATCCTGGCTATCTGCCTGCCCAAACACATGAAAATGCAAACAAACCTATTTCCAAAGTAAAAGGGCCGTATTGCGACCTTTGACCACATGTTCTATAAAGAAATAGGTTGTGCGTGATCATAATTCTGCATTTTTTATAACGCTTACAGTGAATAGAGAGAGTGATCGCTATAAAAAGACAAACCAATAAACCTTCTAGTGCCTCCTTCACAACATTGTAAAACCGTGCTACCCTTAAAAAAACAATTCTGACATGTGATGGCTAAGACTAGGTCATTCTGATAAAATAACTGGCGTGAAGCCATCGAAGGATTCCACGAACCAGCACAAGTGTTGAGCTGTGCTAGAGCGCAAGAGCAGATGCAAGTTTTTTAACCAACAGGTGGGGCACAGGACACCAGTCCCTAATAAATCAATTTGATAGAAAGGTAGCACCTCACCTCCCTCGCTATCTATATCCTATATCTAGGGACGCAGGCACCGGGTGCTACGATAGACGCCCTGCAACTTTAACAATCCCCATGGTGATTGCCTATAACTGTCCTCACCGATAAATCAAACCCAGCCCAATTCAGAAGTGGTAGCCGTTCTGGCCCGTATGAGCAGCAGGGAAGGGGGACACCTCAGAAAGAGTGTCAAGGGAGTAGGGCCTCCCAGGCGGCCATTAGACAATGCGTCCCCCCTTCCCTCTCTCCCCCCCCTTGTCCGTTTCTCCAAAACCAACCTTGACACTCCGTCGACCAAGGCAACCTCGTTTGAAAAGGCCAGGCCACGCCTGCCCGGCCTAACCCAGCACACACCACTTGTTTGATAGACGTAAGAAAAAAAAACATCTGTGCCCAACCTTCGGCCATTAACAGGCCTCCCAAGAAACCAGAAGCCAAACAAAAGCGGCAGCACACCTTCTCGGGCAGTGTTCGAAGCGCCCAGGAACCGGTGCAGGTGACAACGAACTGCTGCACGCATGCTGGCACGCCAAGTTGTCAAGTGACCGAGATTAACGAAGAAATTGATGCGGAGTGTTGATAGAAAACTCGTCCACCTAGATTTCACTGGCTGCGATTGCATCTTTGTAGATACCTCCCTAAAGCTGCCACCGCACATAATTAATTAGTATTCTTTCTGGCTTTCATTTGCTAACCTTAATTACTTAACCCCTTACAGAGAAGTTTAGGTTTGAAAAATGTGAAGAAACAATTTCTAAGCAAATATTGTGACTAGGGTTTGTCAGATATCACTACTGCACTAGGGTTGTCACGAAGCAAGCTTCTCATGGCATAGCAGACTGGACACAGGCCAAGGTTGCCATAACAATTAATTTTTAAAAAATCTTTATGCTTTCTTGTTAAGGAGCCTTTACTATCACAAACATTCAGCTGAAACGTCTTTCATATCACCACCAACTTTTGGTCGTTCCCTTACATTTAAGTTAACTGAACTGATTACACAAAATGACGGATTGGCTTCGCATCAATGTAACTTTGAAAGCGACATAAAATTGCATTCCATTCGCATATAAATCTGTCTTGCCTAATATCTTAAATGAACTTTAACAATATCACTCTGAATTTTGCGGAGCCTCTACAGTTATCTCTGCAGCATAACCCACTTTTTTGTTCATGTTAGTCACATTACAGATGAAGTTGAGGCTAATTATTATATGCATTATCTAACTGATGCCCGAAAAATGAGGTGATGCGCTGAATGTAAAAAACATTTCAATCTAAAGCACCATAACATGATGCCCATGGTATTTAAGACAGTCCATATCAGTGATACAGTGTGCACAACGCTCCTTACCGGTTGGAATGCCTAAAATAGACTATGAATATGCAAACTTTCAGAATGGGAAAATTGGGAAACAAAAACACAAGCCCCCAAACAGACTAGGAGAGACGACCTGAAAGCATGATTAATAAATTGTCATTAGCTGGCCCGAACTTTTCCTGACAATATTCAAATTCTTTATTTATCTCCAAACGGGAGGAGAGAAAGAGATAAAAGCAACTCAATTGTTGCCCGACAAGCAACAAGAGAGTTACTTTTATCACGGCAACAAACAACAATGAAGTAAAGAATGATTATAATCGAGGAAACCTTTTTGCCACAATTGAAAAAAGCACAGGATGTATGTGTCTAGCTTTAAACATATTTCCTCAGAAAGTTGTTTCTAGTGTTTAAAACAGCAAATCCATAATCAAGTAAAATATGCCCTATGCTACAATTGACCCCCCAACAGACAGAAAGCTAAGAAAGCTAAAGTAAAAGATAACCTTAACATATAAGCACATTAGAAAATTATTTGCTACCCCACAGTATAAACATTAACAGAACCACATCAATCACAATCACAATGCAATAAAAATAAGTAAAAGAGAGCAAACGAAGCTCTGCTTTAACCTCTATCCCTCATACGCACCGCATTATGGCGACAGAAGACACACATTCACACAATCCAGCCAAATTGAATGTCAGCAGAGAATGAACGGCCGCCCGATGCTGGTCGCACACTCACGAGCCAACCCGGGCGAAAGTCCCTGGTACCGACGCCCCGAATCACATATGCTGCACGCACTGCAGCATTGCAAAGGTGTGCATGGCGTGGCAGGCCTCCCCCCAACGCACGAGCACAAAGACCCTTCTGTGTCCAGCAGCCAGCACAGAGGGCCCTTCCCCGCTCCCAACCAGTTTGCCCAGCCCCCCCTCCCCCCTTCGACCCAGCTCTCTGCCGTGTCTGCCTTCTAGGCTGGGCGGAGTGGCCAAGATATCGGGACAGCGTGAAACGAGAACGAAACGACACTCGGGAGAAACAAGAGCACGGCACTCCCAACAACAACAACACACGACAAGGAGGAGGGAGCCCCTGCCCCCTCTCCTCCAGCGGCCAGCTCCCGTCGATTCCGCTTCCTGTGCCATTATCCCGCTATTCCAAGCAGGTCCTTTGAGGAAGTGAAGCCGGATCATTGTTTCGGACCTGCCCTCGCCACCTGTAGCAGTGCGAGGAGGGGGCACCCTTTGACTGAGACGCCTGCTTAAGGGATGGCTGCTTTTGCAGGGTACAAATTATCGGAGCCTTTCCACCGCTCTAGGTAAAACAAACCAAAAAGGAGGGCATGCAGCAGAAGTGATGCCTCGCTCTTCCTAGACAGGAAGCCCTGCCTTCCAGGGAGGCACATCTCGAACAATCTATCGTCGTGCTGCTTTGTTTTGAGTCTATGGTTGGTTTTCAATCTGTTCCTCGAGTGAACATAGCAAACACTTTCCAAAGAGAGCAAGAAGGGAGTATGAACGACGGCCATTATTACAGGGAGATCAGGGTGGATGTACCTTCATCGTTCTGCCCCGGTAAAACTGGGACACCAAAAGATGGACCATAAAGTGAATGCGCCAAGGAGCAGGGTTCTGGGGAACATCCATTTTGATTGTAAGCAGTTTCTTGTTGGTTACGAGTGAATATCCCCGCACAAAGTGGGCCTCTAACCAAAACTGTCTGCTCGTGTTCACAGTTTTTGCTCCAGTTTGGGTGCACTCCAAGGGTTAAAAATTGCAAAGGGCTCTGCTTATTTCCACGAAACTGCTGTATTTAGTTAACGCATAGCTACCACAAAAAGGGAATTACACTTAACAAGATTCACGTCACAGTAAAAACATAGAACACACAGATTGCAAATATATTCTGAGAACGATAGGCAGCCAGCGTACGAAGGTCCACCAAAATTTCAGGGCATTTGAACACAC